CACCAGGTGAACCTGGGCAAATGCCCCCCTGGTCACAGCCGACAAGTGGTGTTCAAAGTCAGCTGTGGGTCCAGTTTAGTTCTCAAATAACTAAATATTAATTATATCAATTTCATTCTTGTATCAGTATATCACTTACTAGAAATTAAATAGAGTACATTTTAGGTTTCCATGCTAATTCTACTCTTATGTAGCCACAAAGGAAACTTTCGAAGATTTCACATCTATTTTTTACTGAATACATCCCATTTTTGTATAAATTGAGCAAAACTTCCTTCCATACAAGAGAGGGTATCTTAAGTCAGAAGCTGACTTTATTCATGATTAAGATGAACCTACATCCAATGCACAGGATTAAGTTTTTTTAAAATTTAAAATGGAAGCAATATTTTTGAACATATGGAGGAAGCTGTATTGAGAGAGAACACAAAGCAGTTCTTTCAGCAAATCAGAATTTATTGTGATAGCTGAATGCAGTCTTTGGATATGTATCATTGTTTGTTGCTAATGTGCATACACAAAGTACTAGACAGCCAAAGTCCTTAATGAAATCTGTAAACTCTATACCTTGACTTACATTGCTAGTTAGTTAATACCCCTGTAAAATTTCTATGAAGGGTAGCTTTTCACTAAATTAAAAATGCTTGACTTGCTTTAAGTAACATGAAAAGGGTTAAAATGTTCCTTTCAAGAAGGTAGTATTAATGAGTTTGAATTAACATTTATGTGACCAAATTTCACAATAAGATTCATATGTGTACTGTATGTGTTATTCAAAACTTAGGGATGAATTATAGTTTCCATGCATGTGTACAATGGAAAGCCTGAGAGGAGGTATGCATGAAAAAACTTGCATTATGAAAGACATAACTGGACAGCAACATCATAATTGCATACAGAAACCAATTCCTTAAACTGACTCCAGAGGCACTTAAAAAAATTAATTAAGCTGACTGGCAAATACCAGATACAAAAAGTGCATTGGTTTGTTGACTGCTATTGAAAAGAAATATATCCCAAACAATACATAGCTGATTAGGAACACCACTAAAACAAATCTTCCTAATAAAAAAATGTGCTGACCTTAACCTCCACAAAGAAGTATAAAGTATTTCTATCGAGACTGAGACATCAAGGTGTACAACATTTTTGGTCTTTAATCTCACTGCATTTTACATATGGCATCTGTAATGCCCAATATGGCTCATTTTTTTATATTTTATATATTTAAAAATAAGCACACGTTGTTCCAAAAATCTGTAATAGAATAATATACCTGTATATATCATGCTTTACACTTGAACGGTTTTTGCTGCTATTATAACATTCAGGTGGTATGTAAATGATGGTCCCTCCCTCAGACATTGATTTATCCCCTTTTGAAAGTGACATGGATATCATGCGCCACTTTGATAAACCAAAATCTGCAATCTGAAAGATGGAAAAGAAGCTCAGGTCACAAAGGTTTAGGCCCATTAAAAATATCTACTTTGATCAAAGAAAGGCTTTGAAAAGAAAAGAAGCTTATTCTTTTCAACAAAACTTTTAAGATTGAAACAATTATTTCAAAAAGGTAGGCAGATCAGAAAACAAAAGGGACTGGCTGATTAAAGAATGAAACCATAAAATAGTTTTTGTGAGAATTTATTAAACTAGATAATATGGTAATTGCCAACTCACATGTGTCTGCGCATATACATATGCCACTTGCTTTTCTAGACATACTCTTAAGTCATTAGAATAACCCTGAGCAGAGTTCAGATTTACCAACAGCAATGTTTACGTTATAAAATTACAATCGTGGTCACCACAAACCTTAAAGTTCTCATTTAGTAAGTGGCGATTTTTACTTCCCCTTCTAAGACATAAATATGAGCAATGCAATTATTTACTAAGCCACAATATTGCTTTTCTATATATCAATCACACAAATGAATAAGAAAATTGAAAGGAAATTTAATAATGTGCAAACTTCTAAAAATACGGTATGTAGAAAAGAAGATGGAAACTCATCTCTGTTGAAATTCAAGAGGATTAGGATTAACAGGTTAAAATTAAAAGAAAGGAAACCCACACTGAGTATTAGGAGGAATTTCCTGATAAGAGCTGTTAACAGTAGAATAGGCTAGAACCGGGGTGTCAAACTCAAGGCCCACAGACTGGATTCAGCCTGCAGGGTGCTTAGATCTGGCCCGCTAGGTCACCCCAGTGGGTCAGATCTAAGAAACAGTGAGGGACCGTCTCACAGTGACTCTGCCCTCGAAAAAAGGCTCCTGAGCTCCATTTCTGGCTGTGACGGCCTCCTGCAACTCTTGCCAGTGAAAACAGAGCTTGGGAGGGCTGCACATGATCCTGTACTGTACTTTTAATGTCTCCATCCCTGATTTTTCCACTTCTGCAATGTAGAAGATCCCAGCCTTACCTTAACATGGAACTCACTGTCAAGTAAAATATTCTGGGTCTTCAAATCATGGTGCATGAGTGGAGGATTCAGGTTGTGAAGATAATTTACTCCCAAAGCAATTTCATACAAAATGCGATACCTGAGTGACCAAGCAATGTCGGGATAGATGTTTTTCTATTTAGAAAAGAGAAAGAACACAACACATGGCGATACAGAGAGACAGACTGGAATGGTTGAAAGACCATCTTGAAGCTAGCTGATCTACCGGCTAATGTATTTATTTATCAAATTTTAAAACCATCCATCTCCCCCACAGTACAAATACAATATTAAAACCTAAAAATGGAATATACATTATGAAAGAGGCAAGGATGATTAAAATGTTAAAAGTTAATTAAACACAGCTGTTAGGAGGCCATGTTTTCAAACCTTTGCAAAAGGCCAGGAGAGTCGGGGTCTACTCACCTCGGGAAGGGAGGGGGGAGGAGGAGAATGTTCCGAAGGCTGAGACCAACACAGAGAAGGCTAATTTTTGGACCTCAGTGGTCAGCATTTGTTAGCTGATCTCAACATAAGTTCTGATTGACAGGATGAGATGAGCTATGTAATGGGATACTACGGATAGAATGTAGTATTGCAGGCAAATTCTGCCCATAGTCAGGAGTTTGATCCTGAATAGCTCAAGGTTGACTCAGCCTTCTATCTTTCTGAGATCAGTAAAACAAGGACTCAACTTGTTTGAGGCATATATTGACACTACAAACCCACCAGAAAAGGCTATAAAACACTGTGGAGCGGTATATAACTCCAAGTGCTATTACTATTGCTATTGTGAAGATAACCTGAAGAAGACTTCCTTACGTCACCAAGAATTGACCTCAACTAGATAACACCATTATCTTTTACCAACTACTGAGAGTTTATTTATGTACACAATAATTAAAACTACACAATTAAAAATTAATAACATTAATTACACCACTAAAACTATTTCATATTTATTCCCAATCTATGACAACATTTTGAATATAATAAAGAAAAAATGCATACGTTGTGGAGAATGGCTATATTCAGTAGCTTTTTAAAGACTCTCTAAAAGCACTTGTCATTCCATATCAATGCATGAAGATGGGGAACTTGTTCTCAAATTGCCCCTTTCTGGACTAAGACACAACACTGGTCCAAACATATACTCCTCTTCTTTCTGATGCATTAAGTTAACTCAGTGTTTCTCAACTTCAGCAATTAAAAAAACAACATGTGCACTTCAATTCCCAAAATTCTCCAGCAAGTATGACTTAGGGTTTCCTTAGTTTAAAATTAATAATGTAGCTGTAAACTCTTGCTACAATTGTGCATACTTACCTCATATAAAAGTTGGTTCAGTGATCCATTAGGCATATATTCAGTCACAATACCCAGAAACTGAGGTTCGTTGCAAATTCCCAAAATTGGTAGAATGTAACTGAATCTTGCCTGATGTAAAATTTCAGCTTCTTTTAAGAGACTCTCTCGCTCACTACAAGAATAAATGGCAAAACAATAGTCAAATTTACTTATCTTCCAGCTAATAGACTTCAAATGTACATTGTGGAAAGACAGGGTTGAAGGAAAAGAATAAAAGGCTTGTTTACATATTAATTTATTTAAAGGTGTCCTTTCTCTTTGCATCTTTCATCAGTTGCTGAAGTCAAAATATACAGTGGTTTTCAGTTCTATTCCCAGGATTTTCATTTTGAGGCTAGTTTTACTTCGTGACCCGTCAAAACCACGCTCGACTAAGCCGCGCCCGATTAACAGGGCGACAACAGCCAGCGTGGAAAAAGAAGGGCGCTTTAAATAGCGCTTTGAAAGCAAGCCGATTCAACTTAAG